ATCAGATCTTCCCAATCATCACCCAACCCTTCTCTCTCCCTCTCTCTCTCCCCTATTCTTAGCCACTGCAACTGCTCTTGCAACTCCCTGCTCCCCTGAATCTGATAAACAATGTCAGGGAATGAATGAACTCATTTCCAAACACTTCCATGTATCATATATACACATACACACATACACATACATACATACATACACACATACATACATACACACATACATACATACACATACTCCATAATATATTACTTTGAGGAATTACCGTATAAACAAGTTGGAGAGAGAGTAATTCAATTACTCAGTAGTTTTTCATTTCCAATATTTTAACTTACAAATAGTTAACTTCATTCATTTTATTCCATTAAATGATAAGAGAGCGACATGAAAGGGTGATATCTTAGACTGATAACAATGATAATAAGTACGAGTGAAGAGACAATGCTGGTAGTGTGTGATAGAGACAAGTAAAAGAAAACAAAAGGAACTTTTCATCAAAATGATGGGGAAAAGAAATGAAGGGGAAGAGAGGAAGAGGAAGAAAAAGAATTTATAGCATACAGTTCAGTTCATAGAATGACCTTTCTTTTTCTTTGGGATGCTGATATGCTAACAATTTAAAAATGACCTCTCATTGTTATTGCCATCAACAATATCGTCACCGTCACTGTCATCACTATCACCATCATCATCATCATCACTTATCATCATCATCATCACTTATCATCATCATCATCATCATCACTTATCATCATCATCATCATCATCACTTATCATCATCACCATCATCACCATCATCATCATCATCATCATCATCATTACCATCTCCTTCATCATCACCATCATCATCATCATCACTTATCATCATCATCATCACTTATCATCATCATCATCATCACCTTCATCATCATCATCATCATCATCATCACTTATCATCATCACCATCATCACCATCATCATCACCATCATCATCATCATTACCATCTCCTTCATCATCACCATCATCATCATCATCACTTATCACCATCATCATCATCATCATCACTTATCATCATCATTACCATCTCCTTCATTATCACCATCATCATCATCATCACTCTTCATCATCATTACCATCTCCTTCATTATCACCATCATCATCATTACCATCTCCTTCATTATCACCATCATCATCATCATCACTCTTCATCATCATTACCATCTCCTTCATTATCACCATCATCATCATTACCATCTCCTTCAAGATCATCATCATCACTTATCACCATCATCCTCATCATCACTTATCATCATCATTACCTCTCCTTCATCATCATCATCATCATCATAAACTCTAACTTCTTCAATACACTATCAAGCATCTAATTGCTAATAAGTGAGAAAATGATAAGATAGAGGAAAGTAAATGGTAAAAGATTAAAAAAAGAAAAAAAAGGGCACATATTGAACGAACTGTTTCAAAAAGAAGGAAAGAAAAGAAAAAGAGTGCAAAGTGGTGACGATTGCATTGAGTGAAAAGGAATGAATGAATGTTGAATTGGTGGCGCTAGTGGATGGCGGTAATGGTAGCGATAGCGGTGGCAGTGGCGGTAGTGGTGGTATACATTTGGTTCTGTTATCGAAACTAATACATTTTTGCCATCTCAGCCAAAATTCTCCACCCTTTCTAGCTACTCCGTTCATTTCTTTCCTTCATTCATTCCTTCCTTCCTTCCTACCTTCCTCCATCCGTTCCTTCCTTCCTTCCTTCCTTCCTTCATTCGTTCATTCACTCATTCATTCATTCATTCATTTATCTATCCAACCTTCCTTCTCTCACATTTCCTTCATTCCTTCCTTTACACTAAAAAGTTTAGGAAAATATCTCTCATTTTAACCAAGCATTATTTCATTCCATCTTAATTATCATTTAATTTTTCATCCTTTATTTCTGTTACTTCTCTCTTCAACAGAACTTTCTCTCTCTCCTCTTTAATCAAAAGGAACACAACGATAAACATTTATGAGGAATATTATTTTAGTTTAAAAGAGAATAAAATCACTTTGCAATGCTTTCAATCTCGGGGAAACTACCCGAGAATAACACTTCATCGATGCTTAACCATTATTATTGAATGTAATGCTAAAAGAATTGGCAATTTTTCTTTCATTTATCACAAAAATGACAGAAACATTTCAAAATAGCAATTCATATGACATAAATCTTTTACACAATGAAATTTCCAGCGAACAATTTATTGTTTCATTGTCATAAAAATACCAAATAATGAAGTATATCAGTTATTGATTGACTTCTGAAAGCGCTGTTTTCATTAAACATTAAATTATCGAAGTGCCCTCTCTCTCTCTCTCTCTCTCTCTCTCTCTTTCTTCTCTTCTCTTCCATTCTTATGTACTATATGTTTTGCTCTTCGTCTATTTATGCCCTAATCAATAAATCATTGTAACTGTCTCAAATTTCCGCCTTTTTACTTCGACCAGAAAATGATAAATTGCGCCCGTTGAACGGAAATTAGAGGAAGAAAGAGAAAAAAAAAAAGGAAACGAAACAGACAATCATTTCATCAGATAATATCGATGAGAAATGTTGAAGTTAGCAGGAGAGACTGGAGAGGATGCAGAGTGGACATGCACAGAGAGGGAGAGAGAGGTCAGAGGTGATAATGTGATATGATATGTGATAAGTATGACAGTAAGTGAGATTAGGACGGATGAGTGACGACAAATGTATTAAATCAATCGATTGAACTTTCCTTATGATACCACTTGACAAGTTCCTTTTCCCGCTTCTGCTTTAATGCTAATTATAATGGATACCATTCATAATTCTCGTCAACACACATACACACACACACATACATACACATACATACACATACACACACACACATACATACACATACATACACATACACACATACATACACATACACACATACATACACATACACACATACATACATACATACATATATACACACACTATTTATATTGTACTCTTGCCCTCTTTTCTCTGTGGCGCAATTGTCATCGCATCAGTACCATCACTTTATCGCGTACTTTTATTCTCAATCAATGCTGCTATTGCTGTCGTCATCACTGTCTAGCAGTGTTATCGCTGTCATCGTAGCTATACTCTTATTATTATTGCCACTACCTTGTCTTCATCCCTTATTGTCACTTCAAATGTCACCATCATTTGGTCATTTATTGCTATTATCAATACACAACTACACTACTATTCCTGTATCATCATCATTACTACTATCATTGATGTCAGTAAAAACTAGGACATCGTTATAATCATTAATATTAATGTTACACAGTAAAGCACTAATGATAATAATCACTTTAACAAGTATCACTTGCTGTACTTACTGAGAAAATTGAAAAGATTCTCATAAAAGTTTCGTTAAAGTTTTTTAATTATTACTGAAGTTTGTGTTATGAGCGAAAAGCTCCTGAAATGATGTATAGAAGATTTAAAGTGGAATTCAATCTTTGTATGAATCTAAAAATACATTATAAAACTATTAAAAAAAGAGATTTTACAAAAGTCTTATATTCAAAATTACATTTCATACTAACGAAATATTAGCATAATCATCTCTAACGATCACTAGGACACATTTTTTTGACGTGATCTGATCACGTATGAAAATAACTGCAACAGATATTTTCACGTTTATAGTAATAATTATTATAATAAAAATGGTAAAAATGATGAGAAATGTATTTAAACTACCTATGAAATAAATGTTTCGTTTTCTCTCAAATCAGTTTTATAATTGCATAGAAAAAAAAAAAAAAGAAAAAAGACTAAAAATTTGTATAATTCGTCTAAATTTCTTCCTCTCTCTCTCTCTCTCTCTCTCTCTCTCTCTCTCTCTAGTAATTCGAAGAGAATTTGATTGATAAATACGACCGTTAACTTATCAATTTCACATAAAACAAGTAATATTGTTTCGGATTTTGTTTAAGTGCTGAAAATAATGCAAAAAGTAACGATCGCATAACGTTTTAATTTTTCATTCATAAGTTCACTTTCTATTCACAACGATTAAAAAAGACTGAAATTCTTCTCATAACAAAGACATGGAAGAAAGATAAATTGAAAAGTTAAAACCATCAAAGATCATCGAAAACAAAGAGAATAAACTGAAGAAAAGAGATCTTTGTATGTGTATGTCTGGGTGTGCATGTATAGAATGTCAGCGTGTCTGTGGATGTGTAGGTGCGTATGCTTGCGTAAGTACGTGTGTGTGTGTATGTATATGCATGTATGTGTCTGTATATGTATGTGTGTATGTTTGTTAATAAACATAAAAGCATATCAATTTCTGTCGGTGGTTGCAATTAGAGAAATGGAAAAGTGAAAGATTAGAAGTATCCATCACACATATAAACCAATTTTTTTCATCCTTTCGTCTTTTCTCTCAAAAAAAAAAAAAAAAAAATTTGAAAGACAAGCAATGCTGTCTTATTGAATTAAAAAATCCCTCAAAACTTATTCTACTGCAATTATTTTCAAATAAAAAACAGCAAAGAAACTATTCCTATAATTACTAACTAATATCAATAATATAATCATTAATCGGTCAATCGAACTGTCACAATTATTTGAACAAAAATTATTTAAAAGTATTAAAATGGAATGAAATTCTCGTACTTTTCATCTCTTTCATTGTCTTTTTCACTCTTCCACTACTCTCTCTATTATTACAATTATTGCTGTAAATTTCTCTGAGTCTATTGCTATCTCATAAAGGAAAAAAAAATTGAAAATTCTCCTAATTTAATTTATTCAAACATTAAAAATGGTATGTAATATGTATTTTAACAGTCGTTAAAATATTAATTTAAAAAAAAAAGGAAAAAATTTTGGTTAAACTAACTACAAAGATAGAAAAACGCAAAGGTAAAAAAGAAATAGCAAATTGCTTTTATCATAAAAATCGGATGAACATTTCCGGACAACCGATGGAATAAACAAGTGGAACGCAATGAATGGAATAAACGAACGGAACGCAATGAATGGAATAAACGAGCGGAACGCAATGAATGGAATGAGCGAGCGGAACGCAATGAATGGAATAAACGAACGGAACGCAATGAATGGAATAAACGAGCGGAACGCAATGAATGGAATAAACGAGCGGAATGGAATGAATGGAATAAACGAACGGAACGCAATGAATGGAATAAACGAACGGAACGCAATGAATGGAATAAACGAACGGAACGCAATGAATGGAATAAACGAACGGAACGCAATGAATGGAATAAACGAACGGAACGCAATGAACACTTTGTAAATATTTCGCCTTTTCAAAGCATTTTAATTTTAGCAAAGCTTCTCTGATTATCAATATCTTCTTTCCGCCCAATCTTCAATTTACTACTACTTTCACTCTCATTTCCAGACATTCATGTTGCATACATACACACACATACATACATACACGCATATACACACACGTGCATACATGCTTATACACACTGACACACACACACACATACATACATACATACACACACATACATACATACACGTAGAGAAATGGATAATAACTACTAGCATTGCAGAATGAACAAAGATACTAAATTAATAATTAATTATGTGCATGCATTCATCAATTCATCGTGCACTACTAGCATAAATTAAATTTTGTGTCAAATTTTGTTTTACATTTGGGTAGAATACACCAAATAATGGGTAAAATAAAGGGATAGTATAATGGTCAGTGATAATTTAATTTTCATTTTTTTTTCCAATTAATTATTGACAGATCAATCAAAAGATCAATCATTTAATACACTCTTAGATACGCTAAAATACGCTGAAAAAAAATTGAACTTATTATTTAAATAAACAAAAGGAAAAAAAAACTAAGTCTTTAGGTAAGATAAAATGAAAAGTTCGGTTGTGACGGATTAGAATTGAAAAGACTTATTGATTTAATATTATTTAATCATTTCAAAAATTTTATTACAGAAATAAAAAATTCTCACTTCGTAAATTTTCTAAATTATGAATAAAACTCTCATCAAATTCTTAATATTTCAGTTTCAGTTTTATAACTTAAAATTCAGATTTAAAATTAAGGTAAGAGAAACAAAAAGCAAAATAGATTCCATAACGAAGTGATGAAAAAGGGAAAAAGTTTATAATTTTTGATGAATCAAAAGATAAAATTGAAATAAATGGTATAATCTTACTTCAATTAAAGTAGCTGATGAGTTTTAGATTGAAATGATCATAATTTTAAATGATTAAAATAGCAGTGAAATCTTATCAGATCAATCTTATCAGGAAATTTTTGCAGAAAAAGACTGATGAAGAAAACGATGGAAAAAAAAAGTGATAATTTAAAAGTGTGCTATTAATTCTAAGACTTAAAGGGTAAAAATAGAAAAAAAAAACGTGAAAAAATTCAAATTTAATTGAAACAGTTAATTTAAACTGTTTTAACTTTATAATTTTCTTTCATTCTTTCGTTTTTTTTTTTTTTGTCTCTTCAAAAAACTAACTTAGTTTTTCTTATAATATTTTTCCAACATTAAAATTCATTTATTAATTTGTAGAAAAATGAAATTAAAAATATGAAATTTACAAATATTTGTTTATAATGATAGCTAAAGAAAGACAAAATTATATTTTTAAGAATATTTTAATTTCATTTTTAGCATTTTTTCTCTTTTTTTTTTGTTGAATATTAAAGTGACAATTTTTCATCAATCAAATTACTAATTTTGCAAGAATCAATTTTCATTTTATTGACAAAAATTGAAGCATTAAAAAAAAAAAAAACTGAGAGGCAAATAAAATCTCTTTGCCAACGATAACTGAAAAGGAATGAAATTTAATTTTCTAAGAAAGCAATGTCGAATTCAAATATTCTAAGTAGAAAATCAACTCTTTTATATCATAAGTCTGTTTTTTGTTTTTGTTTTTGTTTTTCTTTTTTTTGTCATTTGTTTACTGAAAAAAAAATTAAGGATGTTTACTTTAAATAATTAATTCGTTATAAAATAATTCCAATGATATTTGTTATTATCAATGATTTGATTTTTCTAATTGATAAGAAAGTAAAAGTATAAAATTAGATATGATGAAATCATCAAATGATAAAATATTGTAGACTAAATAAAATCAATTTTAGATGAAATTTAAAGATAATTAATGAGATTGTAATCATTGGACAAAAATTAGAATTAGAAAAATTGAAATTACGAAAATTTTTATTGCATTTCTCTTTTACTTTTAACATTTTTTTTTTTTAAAAAAAAGCTATCTATGAAATTATGAATTAACATCGTTATTAACTACTAAAATTTAATCTTTTACTTTCTTTCCCAACTATTATCATTCTTATCTCATATCATATCATATCATATCATATCATATCATTACAATTAGTCTAAATCTATCACAATAATTATTCTAATTAACAATAACGATTTAGTCTTTCTTTTTCCTTTTCTCTCTTTTTACCAAGAAGATAAAATGAATGGGCGCTCTTTTACCACTTCCCTCTTTCGCATCTCACTCACCTCTCAATTTCTTATTATCTTTTCACACTGACACATTGCGCCTTTCCAATTGCGCCTTTCTAACTTTACATAGCCTATAAAATGAACAAAAATGAATTCAATTGTATGTTATACTTTCCTCTTAAAATCCTCAATTCTCATTCTCTACCTTTCGTCCTATTTAACTGAACTCTTCTACTATCTATCATTATCTATCACAGTTCCAAATCTCTTTTCATTACTTTTTCAAATGTAAATATCGGAAGAGTGAGAGAGAGAGGGACAGAGAGAGGGGAAAAGAAGAAAAGAGAGAGAGAGAGATGAAAAAAACAAGGTAGACAGCGGAATATGTTTAAGAATTTCCGTTCCGTTCTCGATAATACCATCACCGCCAACAATAGCAGCAGTCATTGCACCATTCAACAAACATTTTCTTTGCTTACTTTTACAAAAGACATAAAATAATTCGATAAAATCCAACAAAATTTAAAAAAAAAAAAAAAAAAAAAGATTCTTTTTTTTTTTTTTTCAAAAATTTCCATTCATTCAATTAAATTATTCTCTTCTCTGCTAAAAATTTTCTTTTATTTTAAGGGATAATGTAATATTATTCATTTATATGTTTCTATTATTCTATGCAATCATTAATTATTAAAAAAAAAAAGAAAGGATTGAAAATATATAACTTTTAATTAAAAAATAGAAAAATTTTATTTTTTCAGAAAAAAAATTTTTTTTTTTTTTTAAAATTCAGTTAAGCATTTTTTTTTTATGAAATATATGCTGCAATAGTAAATGAATGTAATAAAATATATTTAAGATATTTAATTATTATACATATATGTTTAAAGTATGAATAGAAATGTTAATAAATATAAATAATTATGCATCTTTTTTCCTTTTTTCCTTTTAATATTTAATTATTTTGATATGATCAAAAAGTTCCGCAAATGAAAGAATATAGCAAGATGACACGGATGCTGTGACAATGACAGTGACAGTGACAGTGACGTAATTCTATTCCATGTATAGGTCAAAAGATTCCCATAGCAGTAAACAGTAGGTTTCCTTTATTACATCTTTACCCATAAAAGATAAAAGTTACCGATTAATGGTTAATTGAATGAACCCACCTGCTACTCTTTCTTAATATTTATTATCTCTAAGTGATTACTACTGCAAGCAAACAATTTTATTTTATGATTAATAAGAATTTAGCGTATTTTTTCTTCGTAATTTTAAAGCTTAAATTTCATTTGGAACACTTTGTTTACATAATCGCTTTAGTAAAGTAATTGACATGTGATAGTAGTAGTAGAAGTAGTAGTTTTAATAGTAATGAATATAGTAATAATAATAATAGTAGTAGTAATTAATAATTAATAGTAGTACTAATAAATAATAATAATTAACAATAGTAATAATAATAGTAGTAGTGAAAACCTATTAATTTAATGAATAGCTATAAAAAGTGCATTAATCAGATTAAAGTATAAGAATTTGAAATGGTAGAATGAATAAGCCATTTTTTAAATATCATTTGCTAAAAAAAAATAAATAAATAAATAAATCAAAAAATATGAAGGGAAGACAACATACAGGAGAAATGTTAAATGAAACGTATAATTTAATTGTACAAAAAGGAATCGAGTGGAAGTGAATCGAATCGAAAAATGATATTCTTTTCAAATATAGGAAAATTTATTTTAATTTTGAAGTGGTTATTAGTTAGTTAAATCAATATATATTGATTAAATTCACTGATACAATTTGAAAATTTAATAGTTCTTAGTAAGAACAACAAAACATTACTGAAAGTTTCAACTTATTCGAATATTAATCAAAAGTATTTATAAATATATGTGACATTCATGCATAAAACATACAAACACACACATATATATATGACTATTTTTATTAATTATTTATAATTAATTATTTATTCCAATTAATTGGAAAAGACAATGAATGAAATTTTATGTTTATTTATCTGTAAACTGAGAAAACATAGGAAAGTGTCATTGGCCATTTGGCAATAATTGAAAGTATGAAAATATGGAAGCCAATTTGTTTTGAAAGGAATTTTTTGCAAGCTTAAAAAGAAAGAGAGAGAGAGAGAGAGAGAGAGAGAGAGAGAGAAGGCTAATGGAAGAAGAAATATTTTTTCTATCCTATACATTTGTGTTATTTTATGTAATTAATGAGAAATATAAAGATAAAATGATGAGAAGCTAAAATGGATGATAAATTGAAGGAAAAAAAAAATTAGAGAAAATAAGAGGAAAGAACAACAAATTATTAAACTTTATGCAAAATTTTCATTTATTTTATCTAAAAAAAAAAAAAAAATGTGTATGATATAGTACACTATAATATAATAATAATATAAATATAATATAATTATAATATAATATAATACAATGAAATTATAATATAATATAATAATAATATAAATATAATATAACGTAATAATGCAACACAAATATATTTTCAAGTTAATTTTAATTTAAAAATATTTTTTTTTCAAAGATGTTAAAAAAAATTTGAAAAGCTGAAATAATAGGTTAATGAAGAAAATACTAACTGTCTGTCAAATGGCGTTAATGTCATTTAAAGCGCTTTTGGCTGAAGAAGAAGGAAGATGGAATGGAAAGGAATGGAAAGCTCAGATAATCATCGAATTGCTTCAATTGCTTACAATGATAAATGCATCACCGACAGAAAGTTAAAAAAAAGAAACGAAAAGACTCGAAACAGCGAGCAATTTCCATTTTTTTTTAAA